AGACAGACAGACAGACAGACAGACAGACAGACAGACAGACAGACAGACAGACAGAGACTTGTAGAACGTACCAGGAATGTTGCGACAGAACCTCTGTCCAGCCACCACGTGACGCGCTATCCGGCGCTGGATGTGATGCCAGTGCTCTAGCTGGTCGTTCTGAGACTTCTTCTGTAGGGAAAACAACACACTGTGTTACACACTTGGGACACACAACAACGTAACGTGTCACACTTGCTAAAATTTAGATTTGTTTGTTGTTTGTTCGCACGTTTGCTTTGTTTTAGTAAGAGTTTTACGGCACTTGTAACAAAATAAAGCCATATATAAGTGCCGAAGATAAGAGGTGTTACAAGAGAGTAACAAACACAAAATAGAAGGAGGGGAGAAAAAGGCGATAGATGTTTTATGGGAAAGAAGCAGCAAACCACACCAGAGCACTCACCAACCACCCACCTCCTTTGTTTGAGAGATAAAGACTATAAATGTTTAATAGGAAAGAAGGAACAAAGTACTCCAGAGAACCAGCCAACAACTCATATTATGCTGAATTAACGCATAAAAATTGACATGGATTTTTGTCATGAACCTAATACGTTATACACAATGAACACTGACATAACAAAACATAACATGTTGCACACAACAAATATGGAATTTAATACCCATTTTTTTGTTTTAGTAAGAGTTTAATGGTACTTGCAACACTATAAGGTCATATAAATGCCGAAGATTAGAGGCGTTACAAGAGAGCAACAAACACAAAAAAGAAGGAGGGGAGATCAGGACAATATATGTTTGATAGGAAAGAAGGACCAAACCACACCAGAGCACCCGCCAACCACCCACAGGTTTTTTTGTTGTTTGTTCGTTCGCTCTTTTGTGTTAACATATATAACAATTGACATGGATTTTTGCCGTGAACCTAATACGTTATACATACTGGACATTGACATAACAAAACATGTTGCACGCAACGAATATAGAATTTAATACACATTTAAAACAACAAACATTACACACATTGAACATCGTAGTACTCTCATGCACCCTGGACAGTGAACACACTTTACAAGGCATGTTATTTTTAGCACAAAACTTATTACACCACGACAAGTTACACAATGTGGAAAGCACACGTCCTTTGATGCTACACAAACCTTATACGCTACACATACTGGACACACAATTGAACGTGTTGCACAACATACATAACATCATGTTACACACACAGCACACATTAGTTTTAGTAGAGGTTTTACGGCGCTCGCAACTGCATAAGGTCATAATATGAGCGCCAGAAGATTAGAGGTGTTATAAGAGTAACAAACATAAAAAATAAGAAGGGGGGATAAGGACAATGGATGTTTGATAGGAAAGAAGAAGCAAATCACACAAGAGCACCCGCCAACCATCCACCAGCACACAATAATGGTAACAAAATGTTACACAAATTCTTTCCACCCACAGCACTTTATGCATAACACAACATGCAATTGAACACACAAGACGCTATACACGCACAACGCACAACGCAACACGTTATCCACAAAACGGTACGTACGAACACACAGACCATAAAGCACCATAATAATATAGGACTACGTTGCACACGGTACACTATTTTGCACACAGCACTCACACTGTACAACTTGTTATACACATTCCAAACACAATGCAACACACTGAACACACAGTACCAAACGTTCTTCACACTAAACAAACAAGAACAACGTACAAACATAACATTTACCGAAGACAATGAAGACAACCTTTATTTTAGTTTTAGTATAGGTTTTACGGAGCTCGCAACTGCATAAGGTCATACGAGCGCTAGAAGATTAGAGGTCTTATAAGAGAGTAACAAACATAAAAAAAACAAGAAGGGGAGATAGGGACGATAGATGTTCGATAGGGAAGAAGAAGCAACCCACACCACAGCACCCGCCAACCACCCACCAACCTTGATTTAACGCAAAAGAGAACATTAGTTTTACACACACACACACACACACACACACACACACACACACACACACACACACACACACACTCACGTTGTGTTTCAACATGTTCACAGGTACAACAGACAAACATCACACAACAGTCCTAAATACAACCCATCATTATGAAATCAACTCAGACGTCTTTTGGTTAAACAATATTATATTATATTCAATCATATAGCAAAAAATTCCTTTTCGTAATTAAAAAATTACACGCGCTTTGTGTGTGTATGTGTGTGTGCATGTGTGCGTGTGTGCATGTGTGTGTGTGTGTGTGTGTGTGTGTG